TGACCCTCCTTTCTCTCTGCCATTATAGCCCACGCTCCCTCCTATTTCCGACCCATCTCCCAGGTCTCCATGTTCTCCACTTACCTGTGGGCTTTGCTTACCTGTCCCCGTCAAACCTAGTTTAAAGCCCTCCTCACTAGGTTAGCCAGTCTGTGTCCAAATATTGTCTTTCCCCTCCTCGAAAGGTGAACGCCATCTCTGCCTAGCAGTCCTTCCTCTAATAGCATCCCGTGGTCAAGGAAGCCAAAGCCCTCCTGGTGACACCATCTTCGCAGCCAGGCATTCACCTCCACGGTGCACCTGTCTCTGCATGAGCCTTACCTTTGACAGGAAAGATGGAAGAGAATACCACCTGCGCTCCAAACTCCTTCACCCATACTCCCAGAGCCCCGTAGTCACTCTTGATCCGCTCAGTGTCACACTTCGCAGTATCATTTATGCCCACATGGATGAGTAGCATGGGGTAGTAGTCAGAGGGCTGGATAATCCTCGACAATGCCTCCGTAACGTCTCGGATATGGGCCCCCGTCAGGTAGCATACCTCTCGAGATGAATTGTCAGGGCGACAGATGAGCGCCTCAGTCCCCCTCAGAAGAGAGTCTCCGACCACCACTACCCTACGTTTCCTATTCGCAGTGGTGGCAGCAGACCTCCCAGCCTTAGGGGTACGAGGCTTCTCCTCCTCTGTTGTAGGGGGCGATTCCTTCTCTCCTGTATCAAGAAGAGCATAACGGTTACTTATTACCACGGCGGGAGGGTTTGGAGCAGAGGTGGAGCACTGCCTACTGCCAGAAGTAACCAGCTGCCAGTGTCCACCCTGAGCCATCTCCTCCTCCACCAGTGGTGTGTCAGCAGTCCTGTGTACTGGGATGGTCCTCCCAGCCTGGGTATCAGTAAGTGGGAATTGCAAGTCACAGTCCCTGCAAAACCACACCAGGATCTGGGTAGAAGCATCCATGCTCAGGCGCTCTGTCTGGCTACAGGCGCAGGCAGAGGAGACAGAAGCAGTGCTTGCACAGGTGTTGCGGGTCTTCCTAACCATCGTAGGCCTCCCTCTGTCAAACTCGCCTGTCTGCAGCCCCCTGGTTGCTCTGCCTCTGGCTTTTAAAGCCTGCTTGCCTAGGTCAGTCCTACCCCCTCATGAGTCACACTGGGGAAGGCTAATCAAAGGCAGTCAAGGGAACAGGGTCAGGCACTCAGTCCCAACTGCCACAGCAACTGAAACTGAAGTCACCTGAAATCAGAATCAAAATTAAAATTCAAACAGTTGAGCAAACTCACTCACAACAGCTAGTACTCTCACACTCACCTGATAGCCTGTTCAGCAGCGGGATCTCTTGCTCTTCCTCTCAAACTCTCCTGTCTGCAGCCCCCTGTCCGCTCCGCTCATGGGATTTTCATGGGATTTAGAAGTGTACTGTAAACTTCTCTTCCTGATTACATCATAGGACTTGTCTCCACAGTGACACTTAGCAAAGTTCAGACAAATCAGCTAAAATTGTGAAGTTAGTGTGCATAAATATTTTGGAAATGTGAAATACACTACGTTTTGCTAGTCCCCAAAGGTCTCAGTATAGGGCAGGGGTTCCCAAACTTGGTTCACGGTTTGTTCAGGGTAAGCCCTTGGCTGGCCCTGAGACGCTTTGTTTACCTGAGTGTCCGCAGTTACGGCTGCTTGCAGCTCCCAGTGGCCACGGTTCACCATTCCCGGCCAATGGAAGCTGCGGGAAGCCCCTTCATCATATTCATGCTCCAAGGCCTGGATCCCAACTCTTCAGCCATTCTAACACATTGCAGCTAAAATAGTCTTTTTCTGCTAGCTCTTGAATATTTGCTTTTATGTGAGAGGGCTTGTCTATACAATTTGCCACACACTAATTCCATGTGGATGCTACTGACTCACATTAGCAGTTCATTAATGTGCTTTCATCTAGTCCTGTTCGAAACAAGTCTAGATCAAAGCATATTGACAAGCTGCTCATATGTATCATCTGGGTCCACAAGGACAGTTAGTTTGCGGCAAGTTAGTGCAAGATAGATTCATGTTCCAGCTTGCTGCAAACTGAATGTTCATGTAGACAGGCCCCAGTGTCTCTTCATCCTACAGTAGCAGCTATTTTTGTCAACCCAAGAAAGCCAATGAAGTGGCATCATCACAAGGAGTGCTCCTGTGGGATGGGATGTTCCATGTCCATGATACCATTCTCAGAATGCCATTGTAGGATCTTTACTTGGCTAAGAGAAACCCACTTAAAAGCAAAATAAGAAAAAAATCTTAAATAATAAATTTATATTCTGTTCCCTTGTTTAATATATAAAACAAAACACACACCCCCCTGCATTTTGGCTTATAGAAGCATAGAATATCAGGGTTGGAAGGGACCTCAGAGATCATCTAGTCCAACCCCCTGCTCAAAGCAGGACTAATCCCCAAACAGATTTTTGCCCCAGATCCCTAAATGGCCCCCTTAAGGATTGAACTCTCAACCCTGGGTTTAAGAGGCCAATGCTCAAACCACTGAGCTATCTTTCATGGATGGAATAATGTCCGTCCTTGAAATGAGCCATTACTATTGGAAATATAATTTAGGATCTGAAATACTGATTTAGATTTTTATACCAGTTTAGAATGGTATTAATTTAGCTTTTTTTTTAAACCACTTTCCATTGAGGTAGTAACACATAAAGGTAGGCTTGGAAGTTCAAAGTTGAGAGTAAAGGGATACTGGATAAAATTGTCTGTCAAAATAAAGCGTTACAAAACCTACGACCATTTTGAATGTTTATATGAATTTAAGAGTGGAGCATTATGCCGCTATGGGAACCCTGTTAAACTAGATAGCTGAGGCAGTGCATATAGATCCATGTTCTTCATGACCTGGAGCAATAATATGTCTAAGGCTGTCAGAGGTAAGCATGATGCTGACCTGGATTTGGTTATCTTTCTTTCTGATACAAATACATAAATTTTAAAAAAGGATTGTTTAATGGTTAATGCGTTGAGCTGGAACTTAAAAGATCTGGTTTGAGGCTTCCATGCAGCCAGGTACTTCAAATATGCGAGTAGTTCCTTGAAATCAGTTGCATTTCTTTTTTAAAATATGTTACTGAATTGAAGCCTCAGTACCAGTCTCTGTCACAGACGTCTTCTCTGACTTTGGGCAAGTCATTTACTTGATCTGTCTCAGTTTCCCGTTTGTCAAATGGGGACAGTAGTTTCCTACCTCACACAGGTGCTGTGAGGACAAATTCGTTAATGTTTGTGAACTGCACTACATCTCTCTCCCTGTAGTTGAGTCGTCATGTGCTTCTTCGGACTCAGATTAATGGAGATTCTACCTTACGTATTTTGTATTGATTTTTCCAAACAGAAAGTTCCATTGAAATGGTAGTTTTTCACACAACCTCTTTTTTCAATGGCAAAAAATGTTTCATTCAGAATTTTTTCATCTACTTCTTAGGATTAGGAAGTTAAGTTTAATTGATTTTTGGATAGATCATGTAAACAAATGCAAAGCATGCATGATACAATCCACATGAATATTCTGTGGAATGAAGTACAATTAATTTAAATGACAAACTTTCCTTGACTGTGCTTAATAACAGTGTTATAAATGAAAACACAATGACCATTGCGTAATGTTAACTAAAAGCTCCTATGATCCATGTTTGGCTAGAAGAGTGGTCACCAACCAGTAGATCGTGATTGACTGGTCGGTCCTGGAGCCTCCGACAGTCGATTGCGATCTCTGGCCGGTAAAAGTCTGGCGGTGCAGCGGGGCTAAGGCAGGCTCCCTGCCTGGCCTGGCCCCACATCGCTCCCGGAAGCGGCCATCACACCTCTGAAGCCCCTGGGCGGGGGAGGGGGCAGGGATCTCCGTGCGCTGCTCCTTCCTGCAAGCACTACCCCCGGAGCTCTCATTGGCCGGGAATGGGAAACTGCGGCCAGTGGGAGCTGCGGTGGCAGTGCCTGCAGAGAGGGGCAGGGTGCGGAGCCAAGTCTTCTGCCCACCCCCCCCCAGGGGGCGCAGGGGTCTGATGGCCGCTTCCGGGAGTAGTGTGGGGCTGGGGCAGGAAGGGAGCCTGCTTTAGTCCCGCTTTGCCGCCATCTGAGGTAAGCGCTGCCCGGTGGGAGCCTGCACCCCAGCACCGAGCCCTGAGCCCCCTCTCAGGGCCAGCATCCCGTACCCCCTCCTGCACCCCAACCCCCTGCCCCAGCCCTGAGCCCCCTCACTGAGCCAGCACCCCGTACCGCCTCCTGCACCCCAGCCCAGAGCCCTGTCCTGCACCCAAACTTCCTCCCGGAGCCTGCACCCCTCAACCCCCTGACCCAGGCTTAGCCCAGAGCTCCCTCCCACACTCCAAACCCCTTGGCCCCAGCCCAGAGCCCGCACTCCCCCCCGCCCCCCCCCCCCCCCCCCCCCCCCGGGAAAGGGGGGGGGGGGGGGGGGGGGGGGGGGGGGGGGGGGGGGGGTGGAATGAGCGTGGTGGGGCCTAGTTTTGAGTGGCTGTGGTGGAGTGGTATAATAAACCATTAAAAAGTACTATTTTTGAGCTTTCATATGTCTATACCCTAGCTATTTTTTAAATTATTGTTACAAGGCAGTTGTCTGGCTTACTCCTTACTTGCCAAACAATAATACTTACATTTTTGTAGTTGTTTTAGAGCTGTTGATGTTTTAGAATTGAATATAAATCAAATTATTGGGGATGAAAGGTTTGGTCAGAATCTTAAAAAATTCCAGTTTTGTAAGTTACTGTCTTTTGGTAGGAGTTTGCAAGTAGACATTCTCTTTATATGGCATTGGAATTTTGGTTTGGAATTTTTCTTAACAATTCTATTGGAATACTACTTGTTGGAACTTTAGTGTCTGAAAACACTCTATTCTCTACTTACTTTCCAGAGGTGTACTTTGTAGCATTAATATTATGTATATTGTTTGTCTCGATAGATGTGACTGACCTCATTCATAAGCTTTCCCAACACTTATTTTTAATAGGGAGAAAGAACAAGAAATTCAAGAAGAGGAACATTTGATGGAAGAAAAGAAAAAGAAAAAGCAGGAAGAAAAGAAAAAGAAGGAAGGTGCTCAGAAAAAGGTTAGTCTACATTGTTGCATTTTAGAGATGCAGTTACTTTAACACTTATATGGAGTTGGTCCTGTGGCCTTTACTCATAGGAATTAATTCCAGCTACTTTGAATGAGAAGTCACATTGACTGTGTAAGAGTTGCAAGATCAGTTCTCAAGTTTTTCATGTCCTGGTACCTCCCCTCCCACCCCCCACCTCCAGCCATTTTAATACTGTTTTTTTCCTCATGTGTACGAAGTTGCTAAATATATGGATTTCATTCAATATCCATTTAAGTGGTCAGCTGAAAATTATGGCCATATATATGTTATCAATTAATCGATTAAATCTAACTCATGTAGCATCCTGCAAATAGCACCAATGGTTTTTATGTCTTGAGAAATTTAGAAAATAACATGAGTTTGGTTTTTATTAGCCTATTTTAGGCTGCCCATACACTTTCACTAAGAAGCACACGTTCGGGAGGAACCCTGATGGGAGGAAATACTTGGGCAACATGAGAGTATCTTGGATAATGAGGCAAGATATTAGGAAAACTTATTAAAACTTTGCTAGAATGACCATATATAAATTGCATTTAAAATATGAATAATTGATAAACATTAAAAAAATTAAATTGAAATGGATAGCTCCAAATTGCAGCAGTACATGACATAAGCACTTATTCAAACATGTTTAGTACAAACTCAATAATAGAATAACAAATATGGAAAGTTCTTGTAAAAATGCAATATAGTTTAAATGAAGGGGGGAAAATATTAACTATTTGATACATAGATGAATAATATATTTCAGTACTTGGCTAACGGCTACTGCAGTGGCATTCAAAAATAAAATCCTTGTTAAAACCTCATGTATATAGTCACTTACCTTTGTGTGAGTAGTGCCTTTTTAGAAGTCATGCCACTAATACTCATACCAGAAACCATCCCATCATGTGTATTATAATTCATTATTAATTTGGTATTTACAATCAGTAGAATTTGTGTTTATCTATTAATTACATACAAACTACTATATTAAACAGTATTTAGGTTGCAAAAGCAAGGTCTTGAAAGCTAGTAAATGTTTAGGTCACACATGCAACTTTAATTCTGCTTCGTTGTGCCCCATGCATTGTGATAGGCTTTAATTACATGATCACAAAATGTTTTTTCTGAAGGAACCCTGCTCTTTCAGTGCATATGCTGAATGATGCTCAAGGAATGAAGTAACTGGTAAATATTTTTATCCATCTAACTCAATTAGCGTCCCTTGCCTTAATTTTAGCATACAGCATCCAAAGTTTGCAGTGAGTGCAGAACTGTTCATTTCCTCGTGGTCTCTTCTATGGAACTCATCATAGTATCTAAACTTTACAAATATGAATGAATTTCAAGATAAATTTTATCCCCATTTTACTGATGAGGAAGCTAAGACAAAGACTTGCGTGAGGCCATACAGTTGAATCAGTGAGCTAGGAGTCAGAGGGTCCTGACTTCTAAGCCTGTGCTCATTCCTTCTGACCACACTACTGTATTGCAAGAGGTACTAAGCATCCACAGTTCTAATGACTTCATTTGCAATTGTGAGTGCTCAATATTGCTGCATTTCCAGCCCCAAGGTGAGTATCAAGTTGGGCACCTAGAAAATGAGGTATTGCACAATGATGACGTTTTGGTTAGTGACTTACTCAGTATTATATATGACGGTGTCATAGGCAGGTATTGAGCTGATTTTTCTCCTGTGTGCAATCACCTCCCTTAATTACAAGACCATTCTTTCTCTCCCTGCAGTCCCCTGCCTCATTCCCTTCCAACTTCTAGGGCAAATGAGGCAGGAATCCTACAAACAGCCTTACTTATTACGCAACACTGAATCTTTTGGTGAGCACTGTCCATCCTGTGCACTGAAAGAAACAGGACTCGTGTGGAAAAAATAGTATGTGATGTAATTAAAAACTGTATCTCAATGCATATGCAAAAGGGAGAAGAGTTACGGTTGCCTGGGCAACCTACATTCTGTCATTTCCTAAATTGAGTGTTCGACTTTGCAACCTAAATAAGGTTCTTTTAACAGGTTGTTTAATAAAATTGCCAAGCATTTTAAAAAGAAAAAGATAAAAATTATATGCTACTATAACATCCCCACCATGCATCACTGGCAGTGTTTGAACCCTGAATCTTCAGCACAGCTTCAGGTACAGGATTATTTCCTTTAGCTAGTAGAAGGAGATTGCTGTTGTGTTATCCTGGGGAAAGGAATGAGTCACTGAGTTCACAGGTGTTTGGGGGAACTCAGCCTGTTTCTCTTCCCTTCTTCTCCCAGATATGGGGAGTTCCTTCCCCATATAAAGCAGGGGGAAAGAGCCTGGAGCTGTAGGTGCAGGTGTCCTGCAGAGGAGACCATCCTGTGCCTCTTTGTCTCTCTCAGAGAGGCTGTCTGCTCCCAGGATTCTGAGTGAAGTGAAGCTGCTGCTTTTTGACTTTGGCGTGAGCCTAGCTTTAAAATAAATTAGAATGTTCATATTCATTTACTATTTTGGAATGCTGCTAACCTTTTTTCTGAGGAATGCAAGCAGTGGAAGGAAAATGGAGATTTTGAAAAGTTTTTATATCTGACAAACCTGAATTGAATGTAATGGGACAAAGAAAAGGCATTTATCTGGCCTCGTGGCTTTCTCTGCTAAATATTGAACACCTGCTGGAAACTACAGGAGTGTTGCAACCTTTTCTGAAAAGTTCTATGAATCTTTTATAATGGGAAGTGTTAATCATCCTAAATATAGGGATTGCTAATAGCTCCCTTTATAATATTATTACATATCCACGATGGGTAGTGTAGCATAGTTTTTTGGCATGTGTTCTAGATAGATTCATACTATAATAAATAGCAAAAATATGGGATATGTTGATAATCCCAGAGCAGTGCCAATAAAAATCCTCATTGCCCCTATACACCATTAGTGGTATTGTCGTGTATTTTTACTTAAGAAAAACAATGGTACTTTTTTTTATCCTCCACTTGCAAAGCCAGAATACTTAATTCCCAAGAGTCCAACTTCACAGACATCTAGAAGAAAGAGAAATTTATATTAGAAACCTTTAAAATAGCCTTCCTGTCGATCATATCACATTTTTAAGCTCTAAGGTTTCATAATATCTTATGGAAACACGTGCACTATCTTATTGGAAAGAGGGATACCTAGCTCCCTATTGTATCTATCTCTCATTCTTGGACTTTGGATCATTAAATTGGGCTGTAAATAGTCATTCTTCTGGGACTGAGTACAGCCAGTCATTGGCTTCAAGTGAGGAAAAAAACTTTTTTCAGCACTTCTGTTTTATTTTTAAAAGTGGCAGGTTGAAGGGTGTCCTGAGGTTTGGAATGTTGGAAGTAGTCCTGATTAGATGGATCAGTGAGCACAATACAGATAAAAAGGCAGTCAAGAGTGTGCAAGGTGAATTGCACTGATCTCTTGGTTCTTCAGTTTATTAATTGGATAGCATACTACATACTAATTGGATTTATAATTGCTATAAATGCAGATGTGCGTACAAACATTCCCGCACATTATGCTGCCCACTATAATAGTTCAGAAACTTTTCAGAATGGGTCAAAACTGCCTTGAAAAAGCTATTTTCTTGTGCTGTGCACTTCATCTCTGAAAATGGGACTTCCAGACTTTCGATTTGCTTCGGCCCAAACAAATATTTAGATAAGTCAACTTCACACGTTATATATCTCGTTAACAAAAAACAAACAAACAAAAAATCCAGACTTTCATATTTCTTAAATCCTATATTGCAGTGGAGCCCTTGCATTTGGTTTTGAATTATTTTCATGCTACAACAATGTAAAGATTTTCTGCTCTGAGTTTTATAGACATTGACATTAATAATTATATGTATATTTTGGAGAGTTATCTGTAGTCTCTTATAATTTATTAAATTTGAAGTAACTATCAACTGGGATACAGCTTTGATGTTAACCTTCATAACAAAGTTAGTGATGCTAACTTCAGGTCACTAAGAACATAGCTAAATAGGGTTAAATTTAAAGTAGAAAGAAAGTTGTCTCACAGTACTGTAGTCCTAGTAAGATATCACCAGGTTTCTCCTAAAGCAGGAACTCAGTGTTCAATGAATTTCTCTCCAAGAGAGGAAATTTTAAAGGGTCAAGGGTACAGTCCTATATCGTTGATATAACTGCAGTAAAAAGTGTCTAATACTGACCAGTATTTCTGACTTTTTTTTTCTTTCAGGCTGCTGAACAAAAAACCAAAGGTAAACTAATACTTATTCTCTTTTTGTGAAATATTTAATATGTTCGAGTTTGTTTAGAATGCATTTCTGATTTTACCATAAAATATGTAGTCTTACTACTTACAAGGACATTTTCTAGTGTATTTTCTACAGACTCGTGGGGGTTGTCTTCGGTATAATACTTCCTGTGAATGTATTTGCTATTTTTTTAAACTATAAAAGGCATCTAGCCTATGGGTTTAGATGTATGACTTGATCACTATCAACTACAAAATCACAACATATGTTGCTCTGTTTAGTAGTAGTATAACTTAGGGAGCCTAATGTGGAGGCAAATGTGATTTTTTTTTTTTTTTCTTCAAATCTTTAGTGGTCATCTAATGAAAATGGATTAGGATAATTTTAAACTGTTTATCATGCATTAAGACTTTCTGAAACTATGTCTCTTGGTTGATTTAACTAGGAAAATAATTTCTTATCTCCTTAATTACTTTGAATAGATTTAAAATTAATATTTTCCCTTTAAAGATACACCTCTACCCCGATATAACACTAATTCAGATATAACGCAGTAAAGCAGCGCTCCGGGGGGGCGGGGCGGGGCTGCACGCTCCGGCGGATCAAAGCAAGTTCAATATAACGCAGTTTCACCTATAACACGGTAAGATTTTTTGGCTCCCGAGGACAGCGTTATATCGGGGTAGAGGTGTATAATTTTTACATCATTCATCAGTTTTGGATCTTGTGCTTGGTGCAAGAGCTCTCAAGATTTAAGACTATTGGGCAGAGGCAATGGGACTTGTGTAATGGGCTACCTTCCTGCAAATGCTTAACAGCCAGGACTCCTACCTCTGCTCACCTTGGAACCTTCCAGTTAGAGCATTCTTGAGCATAATCAGCGAAGAAACTTCACATGGGAGGTGCACTTCTTCGTTTTGGCTGTTCAGTCCACCTACTGAGTTGAAGACTTCAGATATTCTTTTCCACATGCAGCCATCCTTGCCTTCTGCTCAGGTCCTGTTCTTATGTGATTTGGGAGACCTTGTGGCTCTTGTGTTACCACTGGTTCAGAAGCACTAATATGGCACCTTTTTCTGGAGTTGTTGGAGAAATATCTGTTTGACCCAGGTTTTCTGTTGTGCATAGAACATTTCAGCACCTTATTTGCCTTGGCACTCCTCACAGCTTGTTACCTCAAGACTTTGATTCTCTGCACTTCAGAATTACTTGAATTCCAGACGCTATTGGCTTCAAGTGCTTCTTGTTTCAGTATATCCTGTACTGCTGTGACCCTTTGAGAAGAAGGAAGACCACACTGAATCTTCAAATAATGCCTATGTAGCAAAATGGTATTGTGTATTTGGCGGTCTGGCCAAGTCACCCCTTATCTCTAAGACTGCCTCAAATACCACAAGGCTGTCTTTCATTCTTCCCCCTTGCTCCATGCCATGAGCGGTTTAGTGCACTTTGCACTGAGATTTTTGCCTACACCCGGGGAGTTCTCCTTACAACAAGCACTGGCCCTGACACTAATACCTCTAGCACCTTTTGGTTTAGAAGTTCTCTGTGCAGCCCCTGGATCTAGTGTGTGCAAGCGGCTTGCATGCTCCCGGACAGGAGTCCTTCCACGCAGTGGTGTGTCTCCTGTCTGGGGCCTTGGCTACACTGGCGCTGTACAGCGCTGCAACTTGCTGCGCTCAGGGGTGTGAAAACGCCCCCCCACCCC